AAGTTTTAAGAGAGTTTAGAATTAAATTGTACGCACTTATAAGGAGATTTTGTGGTGCAATGAAGAAGTTCAATGAGTTATTAAGTAAAAGAAATGCACTTTTTAAAAATTGGAAAATTTTTAATACATCCTCTAGTACTATTAAGACTTATAATGAGTTTAAGAAAGTTAAAAGTTGATACCGAAGGAAAAAGCTCAAACAACAAAAGAAACACAAATATTATTATTGAATTTGAAATCGGTTACAACGAGCGAGGAAGCGCTAGCATGATGGGAAAGGCCTGGGAACATGGTAGACTGCTGGAAGTGGGTTGGTTGAGTATTGGGAGAAATTCAGGGCAAGTGGGCTACAATATTGGGTTGTTCAGGAAGGGCGGATGAGTGTTGGGATGGAGTATGGGGAGTTGCGGCCTTGCTGGGAGAAGGCTGTCAGAAGGTTGTAGGGAGGACAAAAATTGGTGGTTGTTGGGGAAGAGTTTTGGTGGCCTGTTATAGGGTTGGGAAGCTGGTGGACAACAACAAGAAGGGTGGAAGGATAGGTAAATATGTCGTCAAAGTCGAGCTACAGCTGGAGCATCACCCGAACCATTGGGGATGATCACGAGGGACAGCCGGAGCACTATCTCGATGTCGGATAGAATTCTCAAAGGGGAAAATGCCAAGACTACAATCTGATTTCAGATTTTAATAACAGGACCCCTAACTTTAAGCAAATCGTCATTTATTTATAATAAATACTAGGACTTTATTTTAGGCAATACTTAAAATAAGAAAGAAAATTAAATCTGAATTTTAATTTTTGAAAGAGGAATAAAATTTTTAGAAGTTATGATTTGGAAATTTAACTTTGGAAAGAAATTATAATGAAAATTTAGATTTAGGAAAAAAAGGAATAAAAATTTTCAGAAATTTTGATTTGGAAAGACTTATTAGGAAGGTGCTAAGAAGGAAAGAGGGGAAGGGCAGAGAAGAGAAGGGGAGGTGCGGCAGCCCCCCTCCCTTTGAGGACTGGTCGGTCCTCCATAGCCTCCGCTTCCGTCTTCCAAGGTTGGGGGAGCTTTGACGTCATAGGTTGAAGCTTCTGTGTCGTTGCCAGCCACCCCTGAATCTTGCTGGCAACTTTATTGTCTACCAAAGCATCTGTGGAGCTTTTCCCACTTGCGAGCATTTCTCCCTATCGATCCGTTCTTGTTTGACATAATATGAGCTGGAGGTATACCACCATGTAGGTTCTCTCGAGCCAAATTCCAACAACAACAATAACAACAACAACAACAACAATGGAGAAAAATTGGCTGGCAGCACCAGGATAGCTGCAGTAAACGTCGAAAAACAACACGGAAAGAAGATGACAACAAGGTCGAGTGGTTTGATGCTGTTAGAAGCCGGGCTGCGGAAAAAGAAATGTCTCTTCGGAGTTGAGCTACAACCGAAGCATCACCCGAACCCTTGGAGACGGTCACCACCTCAGAAGGAGCACCTTCTCTTTGTCCGGTACAACGCCCGAAAGGGAAGAATGCCTCTACGGCAGTACTCAGAAATTTGCACTCATAAAACTACTCCCTAACCTCAAATAACATCACCTATATAAAGAGGGGATTAGTAGATAAAATAGGTAAAAAGTAGGATAGAAAAGATATATAATAGGCAAGGAGGGGAGTAGGAACGAAGTAGAAAAGGAAATGAATTATAATGGAAAATCATCTGGCAAGGAAAGGAAAGGTATTAAATAAAAAAGGGGGGATTCAGTTAAAATCAACAGAAGCCGCTCTTGTGGTACTGTAACTCCTACAGTACTATGGGTGGTAAGCTCCCGCGTCAATTTCTCAAGGTTGAGGAGCTTCGACTTCATCCGTCAAAGTTTTTAGTGTAGAAAGTTTTTGGTTAGAGGTGGTGTGGGGTGAGGCGTATATTAGGAAATCCTAGAATAGGACTAGGGGTGGGCTAGCTCTGATACCAAATGATATCGGAGTAAAAAGTCCAAAACAAAAAAGAAACACAAATATTATTATTAATTTGAAATTAGTTACAACAACTCTTCAGAACATGAAATAAAAGACAAATAAACATAAAGATACAAGCTAGCTCATTGAAACTGTATGCCAAGGGCGGTGGAGGTTGGCTCAGTGGATTCAGAGGCTTTGGGACAACAAGTGTGAATAAGAGAGGGGTCAGCAGGGGTTCGAAGATGAACTGGAGGAGGGAGGCAGCAGATTAAGGTGGCGGGAAGGTTTGTTGGACGGCTGGAGGTAGGTTAGAAGCTGGGAAAGTAGGGCAGCGGCGGGGAAGACTCGTCGGTACTTTCAAAGGGAGGACAATGAGCATGGAAATTGTCGGCACAATGGGAAAGGCCTGCTTGGAGAACAAGGTAGACTGCTGGGAGGAATTCTGGACAAGTGGATAACAAGATTGGGTTGTTCATGAATGACGACTGAGTATTGGGATGGAGTATAGGGAGTTGCGGCCTTGCTGGGAGAAGGCTGGTAGCAGGTTGGTGGGAGGACAACAACCAACAATTTTTGATGAAGAGGTGTGGTGGCCTATTGTAGGGCTGTGAAGCAGGTGGACAACAACAGGAAGGGTGGAAGGATAGATAAAGATCTCGTCGGGGTCTAGCTACACCCGGTCCCATGGAGACGATCACCACCTCAGATGAGGGACAGCTGGAGCATTACCTCGATGTCGGATACAACCCTCGAAGGGAAAAATACCAAGGCTAAAACTTGATTTCAGATATAAAAAACAAGACGCTTAATTCTAAGCACATCATCCTATATTTATAATGAAGCTAGGAATTTATTTTAGACAATACTTAAAATAAGAAAAAAAATTAAATCAAGATTTCAGATTTTGAAAAGAGGAATAAAATATTTAGAAATTTTGATTTGGAAATTCAGTTTAGGAAAGAGATTATAATCAATATTTCAGATTTAGGAAAGAGGGAAAAACAATATTTAGAAATTTTGATTTGAAAATTCAGTTTAGGAAAGAGATTATAATGAAAATTTAGATTTAGGAAAGAGGAATAAAGTATTCAGGAAGTATGATTTGAAAACTCATTTTATGTAAGAAATTATAATGGACATTCAGTGGTAGGAAAGATGAATAAAATATTCATAAATTCTGATTTAGAAAGATTAGGAAGGTGCTAAGAAGAAAAGAGGGGAAGTGGAGAGAAGTGAAAGGGAGCAGCGGCAACCCCCCTCCCTTTGAGGACTGGTCGGTCCTTTATAGCCCCTGCTTTATAAGTCTTACAAATATTGTCATGTGTTAAGTAAAAACAACATTTTTTGATTAATTTCATAATGGCTTAGTACTAAGAAGAAAAGGAGAGAGATGGAATAGCTAAGAATAGGCATAATAGATGTTGGTATTGTGATCAAGTTAGATATATTAAAAATGAAAATAATAGGATTTTGGTTTAAAATAAAGACATCAAGAAAGAGTTGAAGTGTTAATTTAAGAAAAAAAAGTGTGTAGCTCAATGCACAAAGCCCCCGACAACATTAATTTGGGGATTAACTTTTTTATCAAGCCAAGTTAAAAGAATACCCAAAATGTTGGATCCAAACATGTCTATGGGTGACACTCGAACCCACTAATAGCTCTAGTGAGGATGGATCAATGAAGAGAGGAATGTAGATATATAAAGAAGAGAGATATTTAGAGAGGAAGTTTTGAGTATGGTACTTGTTCTATTAAAAACTACAAAATAATGTAGATGTGAAAGGAATATAGGAAAATGTGTAGGTAAAAAGTAATCAAGTAAAATGCCAAAATAGTCCCCTCACTATTTACATTAGTCATTTTAGGGATTGTTTGGGGCAGTTTATTTGGTGCGGTGGCGTTTTGAAAACGCACTTGACCTGTTTGGGTAAAGTGCGTTTTGGCAGTTTATGCGTTTTTAAAACACTGAAAACATTGTTTTCACACTGCACTTATCTAAGTGCAGATGCAGCTATCTGACTGCGGTCTGACTTTTACAAAAAAAAATAAAAATTTATAATATCTATCGCACCTAGCTTATCAGTAGATTATTCAATAAGCTGCAGCTACCCCAAACAGATCCTTAGTCACCTGACTAAAATAGTCCTCTCACTGAGGTCTATTTAAAGCATACGAAAAGATTCTGTGGACTAAATTGACACTTCATATACTCTGGGAAGCCCCCCCACATAAAGAGCCAGAGGACCATTTTGATTTTTCCCTAAAAAATAATATGAATAGAAATTGTTCAAATAGATTAAAACGAAATAGATTTACTACCTCAACTACTATTGTAGAACTAATGGAGAAAATGATTCAATCCCAAATAATTGGGATAATTCTACTGATGTTGATGATGCAATGTAAAATTAATCATTATTCAAAGATGACCGGGCTCTTTTATTAACCTCTATTTTATTTGTATAGAGAGGTTGGACATAAAAATAAAGAAAATATTAAACAATATTCATTTGACTATAGCAATTATATAAATAAGTATATTTTTACAAAAGCCTACTAAAATCTTGAAAAGCATTAAGATTAGTTACTTACATGAATTAAATAGTTTTTTAATTAGAGAAACCATCAATGGTTTAAGTAACTAGTTAATAATAATCAGAAAACATCTTTGCTCAATCAAATCTCAAACCACTTTTGAATTCTGCTGTAGACATGATAGCAGTCTTTTAAGGAAGATTTAGATATATACCACACAATTTTTACGTATTTACATCGGTAACTCCTCAACTTCAATTCTTAAATACATACCACATTAACCATACATGAAAAGGTGTATTTCACTTTCTTAAAGTTAAAATGGTGATGTTGTTTATGTGATATAAACGATTTAGATGGTATAAATATAAAAAGCAAAATTTGGGTTTGTAAATACATAGAAATTAAGTGATCTACTGATCTGCATGTAAATGCTACTTCATTTAAACATTTGCTTCCTTATAGTTCAAGTAATATCTCTTTTTGACTCATTTTGATTTTTGTTGTCTAAGATGTTATCGATGCGGAATGGTTTGAATCTACATGACATATATCTATCGGGGATGAAACAATCGCCACTTCAAGCGTCTGAGATCTGCATGGGCTTCAGCGCCGATAATAGGATAGCACTAAACACGTGTAAAGGAATTCTTTCTCTCAACCAAGAATCTTTTTCGCAGAATCAGCGAGCATCATCCCATCAAATTCAAACCATTGTACCCAGCCTTACTATTCCACAGGAAACCTTTCAGTTACCCATGTCTGCTGGGGTAAATTTGTAGAAGTTTCAACTTCAATTAATTTCTTGGAGAAAAGTATTAAATGATTCTCTGACTCTTTGTACGGGTTCATTTTAGTTCCAGAGTCTGGACTCTCTTAATATGGGTTGAAATAGTCTCCAATGGGGATTATTTCAGCCCTCATTAAAAGAGTCTAGGGACTAATTTAATTCTCTTATAAACTCAGGAACTAAAATGGCCCCATGTGAATAGTCAAGGGACTATTTTGACAGTTTACTTAAATTTGGTGATTTGCTGACGTTGGAACTCCTTAGCTGTACTCTTTTCTTTAGGGAGCTCATTTGTAGAGTTTTACAGCATATGTTCTGGAAGTAAATTTGGCTCTTATTTATTGTAGATACTTTCTGATGACATAGTGTTGCAACATCAGCTAGATGCAGGGCCTGCTGCAAGAAACACAACTGGTATGCCATCTTCCTTGATTATGCCTTCCAAAAAATCCTCCAAGATAAAAATTTTGTTTCTCACATGCAAAATGTTTGAACACACAATCGCAATTAAATATTGGATTCAAAACTTATGATAAAATTAGTTCCAATCAAGCATGCTTAATTGTTTTTAGTGTTAAAAAGTATCACTTGTATTTTTTTGTGAATTATTATTTTTATCCTTAATCAAATGAGTTCTAAATATAAAAGATATTAAACAACAAAATTTGCTATAATCTATAATTGGTTAGATTAAATTAAAATCAAGGTTTGTTTTAGCTCCAACAATCTCTCACGTTGATTGTTTTTACTGATTTTAGCATGAGAACCTTCAATCAACAACAAGAAGTCTTTATCCCACTAAGTGGGATCTTGTACATAAATTTTTTTCTCCATTGTGTCTTATTGAGTGTCATATTTTTATTTAATTCTAATAAATTAAGATCATTTTTATACATCATGCCCAAGTCCTTTTAGGTCTAACTCTTCCTTTCTTAACATTAGTTGTATTTAAATCATCTACTCTTCTAATAGGATCATTAGATGGTCGACATTTAATCTGACCAAACCATCTGCAACAACTCTTATTTATCTTTTCTGGAGCTACACCAACCCAATAAAAAATATATTCATTTCACATTTTATCTCTAAGTGTTGAAACCACTTATCCACATTAGCGTTCTCATCTCAGCAACACTTAACTTAGTTTTATGTTTCTCTTTTATAGGTTAATATTCTGCTCCATAAAGTATTGTAGGTTTTACCACCATCTTATAAAATTTTCCTTTAAGTCTATGCAGTAGTTTTCTATCACACCATAGGCTTAATGCATTCCTCCACTTCAACCATCCACTTGAATTCTACTGATAACATCCCCATCTACATCACCACACTTGAACAATAGACCCGAGATATCTCACAATAGGCCCGATGCATTCCTCCACTTCAACCATCTAACTTGAATTCAACTAATAACATCCCTATGTACATTACTATCACTTCGAACAATAGACCCGAGATTTCTAAAGCTTTCACGTTTTAATGGTTTGATTACCCATTGTTACAACTCCGCCACTAGATCTACTACTACTAAAATTACATTCTATGTATTTAGTTTTAGATCTACTCAAACGAAGATCTTTAGACTCTAAAGTCGACCTCCATAATTCAAGTTTTTCCTTAAACTCTTTTTCTAGTTTTATCCACAAGAAGAATATCATCAGCGAAAAGTATACACCAAGGTAGATCCTCCTATAAATGTCCTGTAAAAACATCCATAGCTCGGTAAAAAGATATTGTCTTAAAGCCTATCTCAAATAAAATCCAACTGAAATAGGAAAATACTTGGTCAATCCTCTGATTTCATGAGACACTTCAACCAAACAATGAATATTGAATCCATGATAAAATTAAACCCAACTAAATACCTTTAATTGATTTTAGAATTATTTTTTATGTTTTGGGCTATCCATATTGTCAGAGATGAAAGTCTCACCTTATACTTGGATAAAGATCCTAACTAGAACAATAACTTCCCAAAACAATAAATTATATTGTTATGTTTGAACATGATGATAATTATGATGACTCGTTCTTCCTCCCCCTTAGAGAAATATATGATTAGAAGTAAGAACACATTGTGGATTCAGTGATTCAAGCATATTCTATATCTCAGGATCTATATGTATTCTACGAGAAAAGTGTCAAAATATTCTGCCGACTCTTTGTAATAGTCCATTTTAATCCAAAAGTCCATAAAATTCCAATTTAATCTTTAAATCTTTTAATGAGGGCTAAAATCGTCCTCCATGGGAATTATTTCAACCTATATTAGAAGAGTTTATGGACTATTTTTATACTTTTATAAACTTTGTGATTAAAATGTCTAAATATTCAGCAGACTACTTTGACACTTTGTAATTTACCTACACCTTATATGACATTCATTGTGAATTTTAATTTTCATCTAACCAATTGAGCTCCAACAATCGTCCAATATATCCACTTTGCTCTTTTTTTTAATTCCAACATGAATATGAAGATCAAATGAAGACCTCGGTGCCAACCTTTCAAGGCGAATGCTCGTTGTTGGAAGATCATGGTGGTCAGCTAGAGAGACGCATCGTAGGCCGAGAGGGAGCACATAATATGCTACACACAAACTCAGACCTCCAGTTTACTATACATCACTCGCATGGGTAACTTTGTTGTGCTCTTCTCTTATTCCTGCAACTTGAGAACGCTGTACCTTTTTATATTGCCTTGATTATATGCAGCTTGCAACCTCGAAGGAGCTTAGGTGGTAGTGATATCAAGGCAGAATCTCTTGAGTTCTGATGCTGCTTTACTTTTTCTTTTATTTTGAAAATTTTCAGTTATTTGCAAGATGGGAAAACTTTGTCAATTTGAACTGGATATATATCAAATTTTTATTAAAGAAGTGGGCCTCAGAGTCATATATGTTAAGCTGAAAGGAACTCACTGACCTTAATTAATTACTCAATTGTAAAAAAAAATATTTCTAACTAATGAAGAGGACACTAATTATCTTAAAAACTTTTTATAAGCCATAGGAAAAATGAAGCTTTTATTTATTTTTTTGATGTCAAGATTAAAAGCCTTTCATATTCTTTATGGCTGTCTAGCTTACTGAATTGTCTCAACTTGTCTGTGGATTCTACATGTTCCATAAAATGAGGAAAAATAACCCAAATATGAGGCCCCAAAGGCGGTTAATGTGAAAATTCTTTAATGAAAAAAATCATGGGGTGTAGATCAATTGAAATAAATCCACTAATTTGTTTGAAGTTTGTTGAAAGTGGAAAATGTAGGATAATAATGTAAAAATTGTTTAATGATGGATTGGATGTATTTTTCACATTATGATGTTTGTTTCAACTCTTAACATGCATATTGTTGAGCCTATTTGTCAAATTGCATCGAAAAATTAAAATTATGCTCTGAGTGCTTAATTTAGGCTCATTTGAATTTGGCTTCAAACCTTGTTGGTATCCGCGAGATTGTTATATTGAGATTGATTGTCTTGATTATTGTTTTTACTCTAAACATGCATGTTTTGGGGGCTTTTGACCATTTAAATGGCCTCGAGAAATTATGTTTATGCTTTTGAATGCTTAATTTAGGCTAATTTGAATTTTGATTCAAATGTTCTCTGTATCATGTAGTTTGCTATATTGAGTGTCTCAAGTATGAATTTATTTTGAGTTGGTGTTTTTGAAATTTTTGTCTCGAATAACAAAGTGTTTTGAGATTACAAAATTACTTGAAACCATTGGGAAATTTTAGGCACAAATATTCTCATGTCTCGAAAATTGGTCGCCTAGAAAATTTAATCCTCGGGAAATTTCATGGCACGAATATTGTATGGACATCAACATAAATCTCCCATCAGGATTTGTGAACCTATTTGTTTGGCTATTCTTTTTTTTTTTTTTTAATTATTGAATCTATTATTATTCTTCTTGCTAGTATATTTCTTCTTGATCTTTTTCTCTCTAGCAATTTCTCAATTATTTTCTTCTTAAAATGACCTCAACTAAACCTACAAAGAATACCTCCTATATTTTTTAGATACAATGGATGTAGATTGTATGATTGAATCAATGTGTAACTTTTTGTGTGTTCTCTGTCCCTTACTCTTTTTTCTTTAATTATCTATTGAAGAAGTAACCTCTAAGACTAGTAGTGCATTAGTTTTCATACTTTATGAACCTCTAAGGTATACTCCTTCCCTTATCTTCTCTTGTAGGCTAGCAACCTATGTTGTCTACTTCCTCACAACTTTTGTGGAAAATTTTGTTAAAATTGTTTGTAAAAATTAACTATGATGAAAGAAAATTTGAGCTATCACAATTTTGAATATCAAATCTAGTTTGATTTGCTCCTCATTCAATAAATCCCTCTAGTTGTAATGCCTTTGTTATTCAAATCTTCCTTAATAGATTGTCAATATTGTTGACATAGTCCGAGTTGTTTCTAAAGTATCATCCATAATTAACAACCCGACTCACCGTCGCCAAACATGATTAATGTTGCTATTGTAGGATGCTTTCTAGTTTTTTAACATGTTTACAACTTGTCATTTGTTCCAAAAAATTTTGATAAAATAGTTTCATTGAATTTCAAAAAAATTTAGCTTGTATATAAAGAAACTACTAATATATGCATTTATCTCGACATGTTGCGTAGAGATTCATCCAACATGTTGCGTAGAGGGTCATCTAGATTCTTTTTTAGAGTTAATTACAAGAAGAAAGATGTAGTCTCTTCCGACATGTTATGGCACTCGGTGAAGCTATTTGTTTACGTAGTGGCTAGAGAAGAAGGATGTTTCTCTAGAGGTGTAAGTTCGAGCTACATCATTTAAAGAAAAAAAATATATATTTAGAGCAATAGAAGAAAAAGAAAATGATAGATTTATCTATTTATTCTCTTCGTGTCTTTTAATTTTCTTTTATATTCTTTTTGGAGTGTTTGCATTAATGTCACCGAATTGCTATGTATTTATATAACTAACATTTAAAATTATTTTTTTAAGTTTAATATCACCATGTATCATCATTTTAATTTTTAAAATGTGGAACACTCATTTTTGTGTACTGAAAAGATGAATTATATGTCAAAATTTAAGTTTAGGGGTTAGACATGTAAATACGTAGTAATTGAGCAGTATGTATGTAAATCTTACTTTTTTTTAATTAAATAAATAATATCTACCTAATTTTTTTGGTAGATTACTCAATATCCCATGCGGGCGGGCGTGTGTATGTGTCACCGTAAGTCCCCTCTGGCAAGAGTTCGATCCTGTGTGTGTGTGGGTGTGTGTATGCGCGTGCGCGCGTGTGTGTGTGTGTGCGCGCGTGTGTGTTGTATTCCTTGTCCAGTTGGTAGGCAGAGTCACCGTAAGTCCCCTCTGGCAAGGGTTTGATCCCTACCGTGGTGCGTGGGGGGTCGAATTATAGGCACATGCGCGAGCTTTCATCATGGGGATGGATTGCGCAGGGGAAATCGATATTCGGACTTCTGTCAAATATCAATTTTCATATATTATTCACAAGGTGGACGAACAAATCAGGTTGCTTTCTATAAAATGATTTTCTAACTAAATTAAAAAGAGCATAATTTGTCATGGAATCAGGTTTTTATCAAGGAAAGTTATATTTCATTGACTTGAATTTATTGATATAAGTCGTTAGAAAATAAAGTTTTAAAACCTTTTTTTTTTTTTTTTGCCTAAATTTTTATTATATTTGAGAGAATGCGACTTGATTTGTTAAAAAAATTAAGTGGTGCGTATAGAGGGCCCAAATTTAAAACTTTATATTACTTAATTTTCTTATAATAACATAACAAAAACTTTAATTACTTTAACTTGCATTTCACTAATTTAAAAGAAATTAAATATTTTTAAAATTAATTTGAAAAAAATAATCAGAATATTCTGCCCAGATGTATTTTGTCGCATCATTTAATTTTGACCAAAATTTAAACATAATTTTTTTAAAAAAAAATATTAAAATTTGATTATTATTGATTACTTATTGACTAAAGTGAATCAGAAAGTTAGGGTCTAATGTGCAATTTATCATTGTAGTATTATATTACATCTCTATTTGGTTAGGACTTTGAAATTGAGTATGTGCGTGTGTAAGATATTTGGTTAGGACTTTGGCCTCATCCAAAATTGAATATGTTCGTATGCGTGTGTGTGTGTGTGTGTGTGTGTGTGTGTGTGTACCTGTACAAAGGCAATTATCGAAGGTCATCTATTGATTCGTTATTAAATAAGCCACCAACTATTTTAGACTCAAACATTTCGCCCATGCACCAGGAGTGGGCGTCTTACTATCAAATCATCAGGGAAGAGCGGTCGTACAGTACGAGAAGTGTCTTAGCCAAGGGAACCTCCGTAAGACTTTTCTAGTTTACCTGAGATATAAATTTAGTTTATTTTTTATAGATCCTTCTCAAGACTCTCAAGTCTCATCCATCCCTCTCTATGATAAAATGTTTTTATTGAGTTGTATGCACACACGAACAATATGAGACCCTACGTCTCAAAAGGATTCAACAATATATATATAAATTTAAATAAGTACCACACAATTTTTATGGATTTACATAGCTAACACCTAAAGTTTGATATTTACGTGTTATAAATATATGCATAAAAATAAGTATTTGTCTTTCAAAAAATTAATAAAAGCAATATTTTTATGTGATATTAAAAATTTGGTTGTGATGAATGTAAAATTAATAAGAACAAAAGAATTGTGTGACATGTATGTAATTGTCTAATATATAAATATTGATTTTAAATAAGTAAATAAATAAAAATTTTAGCTAAGCTAACATAGCCATCACCACCAACCGATGTGGGTCCCCCTACCGACTTACCCACCAACTATTGGCATGTTTGACTCTCCGCTTCAATTTCCATGGATAACCTAACCAAACGAACAGGTCACTAGAGACAGGAAATGGCTTCCTCCAGCGGTCCAACCTCTTTTTTTGGATTATTCTTTATAATTATTTTTTTACTTTTAATCAGCAGCAGTTTCAGGGAAAAAAAATATTAAATATACATAGAAAATTAATATTATTTTTAAAGATATATTTAAAATTTTGAGATTTATTCATCATTTTTTGACGTGATATTCAGAATAAACTTTTTTCTAAATATTTTGCTAGCAAAATAATGAAAGTGTCAGCCAGATAATAATGTTAATAATAATAATAATTATTATTATTATTACTCTTATTATGTATGTAAGCTATTTTTGGTTCGATAGAATTAACATACATTAAATAAATAATGTTATGCAAAGTAATTCAGCTTAATAAATAAAAGGAAGATTGTCTTGAGAATAATTTAATTAAATTCCTATATGAATTTAATAAAAATATTAGTTTTTCTGGAACTTATATCGAAGCGCTTCTGATTTTTAGATCTTGTATATTAATAAGAATAACTATCATTACATTCGTGTAAAGGGAATATGAAGTCAGCCTAGTATTGAAGTTCAAATGTATGAAGAAAGGGACTAATTTCAGTTCCAATCGATATATATATATATATATATAAAGGAATGACCAAAGACTATTATACGAGCCATATAATATTTGCGTTCGTCTTTTGCTATTTAAATTGATATATACTAATCATCAACTATAATAGAATCATTGACTGAAAAAGTGTTAGAATTATTAAGTTTTACTCTAACCAAATAGCCAAATTTTCAATAAGTTAATATTTGATTGGTAAGCCTTTCATGTAGGCTGAATGTGATGGTGCAAATGAGAAATACACTGAAACCACTGCAACGTAGTCATTCCGTAGGGGCAGGCTGAAGATTGTGTTGTAGGTCAGCGACGAATCCACCGCTAGGAAATCCTCCATATAGGTGGAGTGCTACTCACATTTTCCCCCAATAACTGCTAGACCAATAATTCACAATCCTTCCTTTCTCTTATTTGAAAACCAATACAGTGTATCAGGTGGTACAGTCACTCAGTCGTTCTTGAGTCCAATCTTGTCAAATATTGACTTGAACAAAATGTTCACGGAGCTGTTGATGTCGACTAAGATGTTGTTGATTTGGTTGTCACCTATCATCATCATAACAATGATCATTCCCCTTGAAGAGCAAATCCACACTGGTGAAGGTGATTGGTGGGTGAGTGTTGCGCTTTGTAGTGAAAGCGGTTGAGCACATTTCTCTTGGCAGAAGCCTCTTTTGGCTGGTTCGTTAGGACAACTCTCCAACTCCTTCAAATATAGCTAGTACTATCTCAGAAATGCGGATAACATTCACTCGGATTGGCTCATTCGAGATTTCTTCTATTGGAGCCTTCCATTGTCTCTGAGTCACTACTCCCGGTGCCACAAATTTCTTAAGTTTTTCGGCTATTATCAATTCCTCGACCAGACTTCGGAGGTGTTTACATTCCTCTGTGTCATGACCATGGTTTTTGTGGTAGGCACATTACTTCTTGGGGTCCTAGAGGAAAGCTTTGGCTCTCATTGGTAGTGTCTTATTGAAGTACTCCTCATCTAACTTGAAGGCCTAAATTAGCTTTGCTATTAAGACACTCAACGTTGTTGCCTTTAGGGTCTCATGATCATTCATCGACCGTTCTTGATAGCAAGCTGGCCATTGGTCATAGTAACAAGCCTAACCTCCTTGATTGTCGTTCCTATTGACCCCACTTTTGTCTCGGTGTTGTTGATGATCTTCATATCATGCTTGATAGGAAGGAAACGAGTCTTCTCTCAGTCTCTGTCTATGGTCTCTTGGGGCCATCTTATGGATACTATAGGTTGCTAATTCTTTCACGGGGAAAGCAGGGGTGGGCTTGTACTCGTCAGTTGAACTATGATTGTTGGCCAACTCCAACAATTCAACTAAAGTTTTTAGTCGCTGAAGACCGAAAGCCTAATAGAAGGGTCCCTTCGTCAACCTCTGAGCTAAGGTGTTGTGTGCGTTGCGATTTACATATCTTACACTTCCAACATCTTCTTTTAGAAATGAGTGATAAAAAAGCGAAGGCTCTCATTTTGTACATGCCTAATCTGCAGTAAAGCTTGAGACCTTTTCTATAGTTTTTTGGGCAGCGGTGACTGCGCTATAAACATTCTTTTGAAGTCGGTGAAAGAGATGATCACTCTCACATGTAGCTCGTTAAACCACCCGATGGTTGAGCCCCTCAGCGCAGTGAAGAATAGTAGACACTTTAGTGCATCAATAATCCTTAGCAAACATATGACTAACTCGAACGATGCTAAATGGTCGGTTGAATCAGTCCGACCATTATATAACACCAATGATGGGATTTTAAATTTTATGGGGGCTCATTCACAAAAATTTGCAAAGCGAACACATTCTCTGGCTAATGAGGAAGCTTAGTACAGTTGAATTGTTGTTTATCAATCTGCGTAGATCCATCACTATCTTGATGTTGTGTGTCTTTTATTTTTCTGGGGCTCGAGTCACATTTGACCATTGTGAGCTAGTGCTTCATCCCGACGATTATCCTCTCCACCTCTAGCTATTACTTCTCTAATGGCTTATAACTTCCGACCAATTATTTGGTCCTTCAAATCTTGTATTTGTTGTTGTACAAATTTTCTTGTGACTTCATGTCTGTGGTGACTCTGTAGTGGTATTATTCTTTTGCTTCTGCTCCTCATCTTGTTATTGACATGCTCTGCGCTCACTGCACCTTTTAGAATGTTGAATCTGAATCTTTTCGAGAGTCACACCCAAGGAATAACGAGTAAAATAGGGGGGAGAGAGGGAGAGAGAGAGAGAGAGAGAGAGAGAGAGAGAGAGAGAGAGAGAGAGAGAGAGAGAGAGAGAGAGAGAGAGAGAGAGAGAGAGAGAGAGAGCACAATAAAAAAAAATTAAATGAGCAAGTAACTTTTTATTCAATGAAGTGATCTTTTATTTATAGACAAATATGGTACAATATGTGAAGTTGCATTTATGCCCTTGCATAAGTGGAGTTGTTCAAGTTATTCTAGGTATTAGGTTCATGTGAGCTCAGGACCCAGTTGCTCTCTTGCTTGGCCGATTAGGCTTGATAGGACTTCGACAATCTTTGTCGGTGGGTTGGATTTGGTAGAAGCTTGTGGTTGGCATTTCTTCTACTGGCCGGGAGCCAGTAGGGCTGTTCTGATTGGCTAACATTTATCGATCAGTTGACATTGTCTGGCTGTCGGCCCTTAATCCTCTTTGAAGGATTTCCTGTCAACAGAGCAAAGCTATGATGTCCGTGCATATGGTGAATAACTGTAGTCGGACATGTGCACGCCATTAGATGAAGAGGTTCTAGGAGATGGCTGCTAGTCGTCGTCGGCATAGTCACAGGATCAGAGGGATTGATTCCTTCCTCAAATTTGGGCTTTATGTTCGGATCATCCTTTATCTTCTTTCAGGGTGAGTCATTCGGTTAATATCACACATCCATCTTTATAAGAGTTGACTTTGAGTTTGATTATTCTGATCGGGCCTGGGCTTCGCGGATCTTCTGCTAGTGGATGGTGCACTCTTTAATCACATTTTTATGTCCCGGGTCATTGCTGCATATTTTTTGTGTAGAGTATTTAATTCTCAATGACCAGCGAGTCGATTCATTTATGGCTCGGTTCATTCCATGACAATCAATCCGTCCAACTCACATTAATCAATACGTTCGAATTGTGTGGTTGGTGAGCGGGCCCCATACACTTGAACCGGCACCAGCATCCACTAAAAAGATGCAAAAAAATAAAAAATAAAAAATAAAATAAAAAACCGCTCACCAACCCCTACTTTCCTCCCAGCACGTAAAACGCAAAATATCTAGGGACCCACACCAACCTTCCACGCTACTTGTCTGCAGTGCGACCATTTACCTCCACCTAACAAAAGCGCTTATCTATATATCATCGCCCTCTTTTTCCTTCCCCCAATCAGCAATCCTCCGCTCGTCTACAGAGAGAACAGAGGGAAAAGAAAGGAAAGAAGAAGGCAGCCATGGCAACCGCCGCCGCCGACCAGGTCCAAACTCCGGCCGAGACTCAGAACGGAGAGCAGAAGACGAGGCATCAAGAGGTCGGCCATAAGAGTCTTCTTCAAAGCGATGCTCTGTATCAGGTACACCCACAAACCTAAAACAGGACATCATATAAACCAAATAAATCCCTCAATATCTCAGGCCGTGTTTGGCTGGGCAATTTATTTGGCGCGGTGGCGTTTTGAAAATGGACCTGCCTGTTCGGGCAAGCTGCGTTTTGACAGCTTTTGCATTTTCAAAAAAAAGCTAAAAACAGCATTTTTGCACTACAACTATCAGGTGCATTGACAATTTTCTGTCTGCGGTATGAATTAAAAAAAAAAAATTATAATAATCACCGCACCTAACTTATCAACAAATTATTCAATAAACTACAACAACCTCAAATAGACATTTAGTTTTACTTTAATAAGCTACAACAACATTTATTAGATCTCACATACTGTTCGACGCTCTGAAATTATTTTTTCATTTTTTTGCATCGTGATTAAAATCCTATAAATAAAATGCTACCAAATACAGTTTTAGCTAGTTTTTATTTTTATGAATTTCTATTGAAGATGTAAGTTCTTTTCAGTTGTATATGTTAACCCATACAAATTAGGTAAACAGAGTCCCTCTAAACTCAAATTTGTTAATACAATTCATTCAATAATATATCATTAAATTAAATATATTATTATTGATAAAAAAATATAATTAGACTTCTAAATTTCTAATATTATCACTTAAATATATGCAGTATATTTTGGAGACAAGTGTCTACCCCCGCGAGCCAGAGTGCATGAAAGAGCTCCGCGAGATCACAGCCAAGCATCCATGGTTAGCTATCTCTTCTTTCTTGGATCACAAAACAAATAAACGAATCAATATATAAATATACTGATTTTTAGGATTAATGAATATAATTTATGTTAATTTGGGTATTTATGTTTTGGTGGGTGAAGGAATATTATGACGACATCAGCGGATGAGGGGCAGTTTTTGAGCATGATTGTAAAGCTTATGAATGCGAAGAAAACAATGGAGATTGGAGTGTACACGGGCTACTCCCTCCTTGCTACCGCCCTCGCCCTCCCCGAGGATGGCAAGGTATCAATTTCTTACTCTTTTTTTTTTTATTTCGCTTAAAAAGATTTTAACAGATAGGCTGTGAATTTAGCTTGAGGATCAATCGTTCGAAAATCAATTCAAATTTTAGCTCGGATCTAAATGTATGAGCCTAAATGTTGGATATATTTTTTTAGATTTGATTTTGAGTCATATATGAATCGGAATTGAACTGACTCGAGATTGGCTCAATGTAATTTTGGTTTATAAAAATTATATATATAATAGAACAAATTTTGAGCTTGAATAAATCCAAATAATTCAATTTGAGCTAATGTGTTTCGATTTCGAGCAAATTTGGATTCATTTTGAGCAGGAACGATTTTATGTATTTCAATTTGAGCCAACTCATTTCGATTTCCACTCGGATCGAGTTCAGTTCAATTTAAAGCTGAACTGGCTCAAAATTGAATATAACGAGTCACAAGTCAATTTCAAGCCACACTTAATCCATTCGAGCTTATTTCAAGCCAACTCCAACTCTACTTTGCTCAAAATCAGATCGCTAACAGCCCTATTTATAGGCTACACAAATTAAATTATTTCCAATACTTTAATTATATTTAATTAAAAATTTTACAATTAGTCTCTCCCTACCTACAATAGCATTGAGTTTTTAGGCCCCTACACACATTCAATGCTTATTTTTTAAATTAATTAATTAATCCAATTAAAAGAAAATCACAAACATATCTTCAACTTAATATTCAAAAAATCAAGCGAAAAAAACAACCATCATCAGCTCATAATTTTCATAGATTGGATCTCCTACAAATGTATTTCAAACTATTATCTTTAATTAAAAATATAAAGAATTTAGATACACAACACTCAACTCTTATGAATTTATCTATCTCATATTCAAACTTTCATTTTTACACATTAAATATTCAAATTACATTTTTCACCACTCTTCAATGCTAAAATTCACATTTTTTTATCACAATTCTAATTTTATAAATTTGAGTTTAAAAAATAATTTGTTGCTGAAAATGTAATTTCCGAATTGCTAAATGAAAGATATGAACTCCACAGATCCTGGCAATGGACATAAACCGCGAGAACTACGAACTCGGCCTCCCCGTGATTCAGAAGGCCGGCGTGGCTCACAAGATCGACTTCCGCGAAGGTCCCGCCCTCCCCATGCTCGACGAGCTCCTCAATGATCCGATCAACCACTCCTCCTTCGACTTCGTCTTCGTCGACGCCGACAAGGATAATTACCTCAACTACCACAGCCGCCTCATCGACCTCGTCCGGCCCGGCGGCCTCATCGGCTACGACAACACCCTCTGGAATGGTACCGTCGCCGTGCCGGCCGACACCCCCATGCGCAAGTATATCAGATACTACCGCGATTTCGTTCTCGAGCTCAACAAGGCGTTGGCCGCCGATCAGCGGGTGGAGATCTGTCAACTTCCGGTGGGGGATGGTGTTACTCTCTGCCGCCGGGTGAGCTGAAGGAGCTATGCGGTGTTGGTTGGTTTATGCTTTGTTTTCTGTGGTTGTGTTATGGTGTCTTTGGATTTCATGTGATTTATGCGTCTTTGTTGAAATGTTTGTTTTCTGTGATTGAAGAAGTAAAGCGATCGATCTTATCTTGCGTTTTTAGTTCTTATTGATAAACGATCGGAAGTTTTCTGAAAAATTTCATTTGAAATATGTGAATTTTTGTTGAAACTCTTAAAGTTCCATTCAAGATTTCACAGAGACTTATCAGATCATGTCTGCAGTTCTCAGACCAATTGGAAGGGAAATTATTAGAACTGATCAGTTGTCAACATTTGCATTGCATTTTATTTTAATTTTTTGGCGTTTTTTTGGAAGCAGAATGCACATGGTAAGATTCGAAGCTATACTAGGCGAAGTTATTTATCATTAATTTTCAAATTCATTGAAATTTCTAATGGTGTTGGAGAAGCAACCATTGTTACCTTAGGAGATTAAATTAAGGTAATCAGGTATATATTTGGTTTACTTATATATACCTATTGAATCCTAATTTTCAACTAATTTATCATAATTTTTAAGCAATGAATGGTCTAATTGTTTGGAACTATGCCTAGCTAATTCATTGAAATTAATCAGTGCAATCAGAATCAAAGGCTGAGTGATGTGCTATAACTCAAACATTAAGAACATGCAATGGAACTCAAAAATATTGTCTTATCTTACCTCACTACAGGAATTAAATATATTTGTGTCGGTTATATCGGACGCAAATCGAAAGTAAATCTGACAATATTTAAAGGTTATCGTTGGATTTGCATCTGATTTATGTCCAATTTTGTCCAACATTGAATTTGGTGTTGTTAATATTAATTCCGTCAATTTTGCGTGGAAATATTTTAACGCAAATTATTTGTGTTGGTTTTTTACGTCGTATCAGTGTCAGATTTGTTTATTCGAAAAATTTTAACGCACTGATTCCCCGATATTTTCCTCCTGGTATGGCTTTGAGAAGCTCGGGAAATCAGTGCGGGACCACGTGAGAGCTCGGTCTTGAAGGCTATGCCCTTTGCTCCAAGGCCATAAACCCTCCCATTCTTCTTCCCCATCGCTTGGGTCTAGAGCTCGTACTAGGATTGAGCTGTGGAAGACTGACTACCGTTGCTGCTGGTAAAAGTCTGGGCCTTAAGGGCCTTTCGCACACAGTGTTTAATTGACATTTTCAACAGTTAAAATCTAAAATAAGCTTTTAATTTAAATTTATTAAATTACAACAACTCGTCGGGAATACTCCGAGACCCACTGCGCAGCCCTCGGGCGTCGATGAGTTCGGACACACACCTCTGTAATGGGGGAGCACGACTCAAACCTTGGCTTATGTAGCGTACAAAATTGGTTAGCGCAACAAAATTATTCTGTATATTAATTTAAAATTTAAATATTTTAAAAAAATTTGCCAGTCTTTTGTAGTGCTCTGATAGGTGACTAATCTGACAATAAGGAGCGCAGCTCCCCTGGCCCCCTCCGTTGCTCAGTTTGCCCAATTCATCTGCCTCTTCCTCTCATAATTAGGAGAGGCTCGGGCTGCGGTCAACTGACCCTAGAGCCCCTCATCGATCTAGGCAGACTCCAACGGGCTGCCGTGAACATGTCTCTAAACGATTTATCAAGCAATTGTCGTGAAAACCAACAGTTTAAGCTGCTGGTTATATTACCATCGCCTAATCGACAGAGAATCGACATGTTTCACTTTGTTATAAATCGACAAGCAGTCCCACTTATCGACAATTACCTTGTCGGTTATGATTCTAACACAATCTGACGCATAACCTACGAATCTTATTGCAACATTAAAATGACACATGCTACAATTTACCAATATTTCACTCGTCTGTTATCGCTGACGGTTTGCTCGTCGATAATCAGAAACCAACAACAACCGATAGTTAGCACGTGATTACTAATTTACCGAAATGGACGATCATAATTTATTGGAAAACCGTCGATAAATAAAAGCCATCAAAATGGCCGTCAATTTTCAATTCAGTGACAAACATTTTTGCTACCGCCTATAAACAGTTGGTACCCCATCAAAAAATAATGATCGATGGTTTATTTGGTATTAACCGACTAAACGTGACCGTTGGAAATTGGCTAAATTCAGGTAGTCTTCTCTTAATTAAGAAATTCTTGCAGACATAGTAAAAATTAACATCAGGGATTGCTTTGCTATAAAATACAATTGGAGCGTTATATGGCAATGTTGATAACATTTTTGAATAAAACGATTATGCACATACTATGGCAAACTACATGACACAAAGTTGCTCTTCATTTGAACTTCTGATGGAAGTGGAAAGCACTATCAACTATTATATGAAGTGTGTCCGATGTGTCTATCATGACAAAAAGATTACCTTGGATGAGATCATGATGAGCATTGCATAATCTTCCGGAAGAAAGAAATAATGTTGTCATTATGTTTGTATAAGGCAAGTTTGGTATTCCATCATTGTTGCAAGCTACATATTAATGGAAGCTAAATGAGTATTATTTCATTTTTATATGGTGAAAGGTAATGCAATCAATATTGCCTTGAATAATATTTTATTATCATCATATATGAAACATAATGCAAATATTATGATAATAAGACGATGGTACACAGGAGCAAGGTAAGCATCATTAATGAGTGACATTAAAATTGTCATTGTAAGCGACACATCTAATATCAAACAGTTATGAATATTGGAGCAAGATGATTGTTCCCAGTGACGAGACACATTTAAGCCACTGGATGATGATTCATGGAAGGATGATAAATATTGTCTAGTTTTCAAGTATCAATAGTGCTACAATTATGGGGCTTATAGAATCCCAAGAGTGTAGTGTTTAATTCACTGATTCCTGCATAAGTTAGCAAGAACCACAAGAAGTATGCTAATTTTCTTAATCATAGCGAAATAGCTAGAATATAGTTCTTTTTATGGACTCTGAAGCTTGTTTGCCCCGTGCATAATTTTTTTTTTTGTTATTGATAAGGAGTTATTGAAATCAAACTCTCATTTATTAAAATTTAACTAGATTTTGAGTTTACCACTTTGGTAAGACTCAAACTAGGCTATTATGATAAAGGAGGTTTGGGGATGATAAGTGATATTAATATCCTTCAATGATGTCTTAAATCAATGATATGATATAATATACTATATTTAATAATTTAGAAGTACCTTAGTGATGATATACCAAAAATTTGATATATTGAAATTGCGGATTCGTCTAATTTGTTTTCGAGTTAAATTTATTTGACTCTTTCGTATTTGAGAATATTCACATAATTAGATGAAATTGTAGTCATTGTGAATATAAATCAGTTCGCAAAATTTAGAAAGTTTTTTTTTGGGATATATATATATATAAGCATTTTCATTCATAGCAAAGGTAATGGATATGTAAGAAATGAAGTTTATTTGTTATATAAGTATTTATATATATAACAGATAAACTTCATTTCTTACATATCAATTACCTTTGCTATGAATGAAAATGCTTATTACACTTTTTTTAAGTTAAAATAGTGACATTTTTTATGTTATATGAAAGATTTGAGCGGTTTAAATGTAAAAAAAAAAAAAGGTGCCAGATTTGTATGTACATATGAATTTGGTGGTATGCAGTGAAATGTGTCACATTATTTTTTTTTACAGTTGTGCTTTACAATTTTACACTATTTAAAGAAATTTCTTTATTGATCGGTAAAAAATTATAACGTACTATCAAAATTTTTTAAGAAAATTACATTAGGAGTTCTGATACAAAACTGTATAAGGACTCCAATCACAATATGTCACGTGTACGATCCGATAGTGCAATACATTAAACTGTTAAGCTTTTTATATTCAACAGGGTCGTACCGTACATGTGACAAATTGTAATTAGAATCTTGATGCAATTTTTCTTTAGATTTCCTAATGTAATCTATTTTTTTTCCAAAATTTATGCTACCGCAATATCCTTTCCAGGCTAGCTTGAGGATTCAATCCTTTGTAAATCTTCATTGGGCTTTCAATTTGATTGAGCCTTTAGGCCTGAACTAAAAAAAAATTGGCTGAATAGAAAGCCCAATGGACAAGGAACAGTTTTCTCAAAAACCCTAGCTTAATTCTCTTAAATCTGCACTCCCACGCCGCCCGACTTCACCTATTCCCTTCCTCTACGCCTTCTTCCATCTTTTTTTCTGCGGCAGCTATGGCGACGAACGGTGCAGCGAATTCTGTTCAATGCTTCGGACGCAAGAAGACAGCGGTCGCTGTTACTCATTGCAAGGCCGGCAAGGGCTTGATCAAGGTTAATGGCGTCCCGATTGAGCTCGTCAAACCAGAGATTCTCCGTTACAAAGTCTTCGAGCCGATCCTTCTCGCCGGCCTAGAGCGCTTCCGCGGCGTTGACATGCGCATCCGCGTTCGCGGCGGTGGTAAGACTTCTCAGATTTACGCCATTCGCCAGAGCATAGCCAAAGCTCTTGTCGCTTATTACCAGAAGTACGTGGACGAACACTCCAAGAAGGAGGTCAAGGACATCTTCATTAGGTATGATCGTACACTCCTAGTGGCTGATCCTCGCCGCTGCGAGCCGAAGAAGTTTGGTGGACGCGGCGCTCGTGCGAGGTTCCAGAAATCTTACCGTTAGATCTACAGTTTGGAGCCTCTTCCAACTTTGTTTATTTTTAAATGGGGATTACGCTGGAGGTTTGGAGCGTTTTTGAATGAACTCTCTTAGCGCAACTTTGTTTCAGTAAAGGAAAACTTATTTTAATTCGTCTGCTTGATGCTGCTTTTGCTGCCAGTTTGCCTTATTTTATCATGCCATGGATGTTTATATTATGATATTTGAGATTGGATGAAAGGGCTACATGACTAATTATATTTTTTTCCAAATTTGTTCAATGATTTTGCTTTATCTTTTCTTAAAATCCTTCTGTGTTGATCTCCACTCCTGCCATTATTTTTTGTGTGAAAATTGCTTTGAGCGTGCCGTTGCTTGTGTTCGGTTCCTTCTTTAGAGAACAAGTTAAATGGTTTTCTGCGATGATGGCATTTATTTCTCTAACAATCCTATTAATTTAGCGCATCGAACTTCTTTATTATCTTAATATTGTTGGTTTAATTATAACTTTTTTTAAACGAGCATTACAAATATTGACTATTTTGATTTTCTTTTTAGAAAGGTTGGTTTGGGAATGTTGAATCAAGCTTTGCTTCCTTTGGGCGTTTTTTTTTTGAAGTTTTGTAGTCATTTATTAAATTTGTGTTTATCTAAGGTTTTCTTTATGCTCGAGAATGAATTAACTGCTTTATTATTTCGTTATAAACAATGGTTCCAGATGGCATTACATTAAGCTATTTTTCTCTGTGTTGTTGTCGTTTGACTTGTCGAGGGGAAAGGATCATTGGAGTTGGAACCATTATTGGAAGCTTAGATAGAGCCTCTAGTGGAAACTTAGGGTGCATTTGGGACAATTGTGATTGCATGGAATCTCAGTTCAAAAATGGATGTGAGAAATTTATTATTTAAGAATTGTTGTTGCAGAAGCAGTTCTTTTGTTTGAAACTTTTTTGTTTTGAAAGTACTGTGTTATATTTATTTGTGGATAAATGTTTGAAATATATCTATTTGAAAATAAAATAAGATTATTTTCAGCTCAGGAACATTAGGTTGTTTTTCTTAGTGGTAGCCTATCATATCAACAGCTTCACCCACTTTGCCTAAACTACCAATTTATTGAAATAAACAACACCTTTAATAAGCTCAATAAAAATTTGAACATGTAGCAATTCACTTTCCAATCTATCAGGTCCTCCATTAATCAACCCTCTCAAGCAATTAACTTCTTTTTGTGCTCGAACAAGAATGACAAAATTAATATCAGTAAAGAATCTTATTGACAAAAATTTCCAGCTAACTCTAGTCCTGACTATTACTTGCATTTGAGTAGGAGCGGAGCGGAAGGGGGAGGAAGTGGGAGTTTTAGAGGTCTTCGTACATTTTGATCCTGTAGTTGCCTTTCCAGGTAACTTTGATCACAAGGTTTTGACAAAGGTTTAGGCATGAGATGACTTACAGTGATTTCTAGCAGGACTGAAGTAAGGGGATATGCGAAGTGGTTGTGCGAACAAGCCCTAAATCAGAAAAAAAAATGGAACGCGGAACTGAGGGGGCAATGGAGCTGACATGATTTAAAAAAAAAGAAAAGTTGTGTCCATGTTGAATCGCGATCCACACGAACACCTAAATCGAACGCTTTCTTTTTTTGTTCGGTTCAAAACTCGGGCCCAAATGCCAAAGCAAACATACCCCTAATTGAAGGAATGCCAACAACATTTTGATAGAATCTACTTATTTTTGCCACATGATCAATCTCAAATTGTTAATCTAGCTGAATTTATCTTACGAGAGTAGGCTTTGGCTCAAATTATAGTTATGTAGCAAATATTTTTTATGGTGCTTTATAAACATCCTTTATTTTTAATTTATGAAATGAGATTATTTTTTTAACAAAATAAATTATATATTGGTCATCAAATAATAAAGTAAGAAGCACATAGTTTTAGAATATGTTTTTGGAGTTGGGAGTTCTAGAATTTGAGAGTTGAGAAGGGAGTGATGGTATTGTTGGAGATGGAAACCTCGTTGGAAACTTTTTTGAAGGAATGTCAGTAAAAGTTGATGACGATCTACCAATTTTTGGCATAAGTTTAGTTTCGAGTTGTTAATTTAGCTGAGTTATCTTATCAAGGGTAAGCTTTGGCTCAAATTAAAGCAATGTAGGAAACATATGCTATGGTATCTCATAAACATTCTTGATGTTTGAATCATCATATGCGGTTATTATATTAACACAATAAGTAAAAACACAATGTTCTTGCCTAAAATTTTGGAGTTAAGGAATTCTTGGATGTGGGGGATTTGAATAGTTGATAGGTTGAGAGGGATTGATCTTGTTTAATTGACTCTTTCAATTAACTTATGAAGGCATCTAGTATTGAGCCAATATATCTTTTGATGAGATTCATGATCATATTTTTCATTATAATATGTTGACTGAGTTGATTGATGGTAACTCAATTGAGCATTAAATTCATAATCGTGAGATGAATTGTGATAAAATCTAGAAACTAAGCAATGATTATAAGCATAGCCGTTAGATCTATTAGATCATGAAAGGGATTGTGTTCGTGTGATCCACTCTTTCAATTTACTCATGATGGCAGCTTTTTGGTGTGATTCATGATCTTATGTTTCAATAGAATATGTTGATTGAGATGATTGGTGATAGCTTTATTTAGCATTAAATACAGAAGCATGAGATGAATAGTGAGAAAATTTAGAAACTAAGCAAAGATTATAAGCATCATTAGATCTATTAGAACAAGGACAATATTTTCACTCATAATCCTAATAATACATGTTAGATTCTGATCTATTTGTTGATTATGTTAGAATATTACTAACCCAAATGATATTGGAAAAGATAAGACATATGGATAGTTGATTGTTTAGGCTTTTAGTGTTTTAGGATTTAAGGTTTAGAATTTAAGGATTAAAGCTTTTTTTTCAATTAAATGCCTGGTCCATCATAAGTTTAAGGATTAGTACACATGATTGAGGGTTTATGTTTAGAGATTAATGTTTAATTTTTAATTGTTTTAAAAGTTTTATGGTTTTGGATTTTAGGTTTTAGGTTTTGCGGTTTAACATTTATCGTTTATGGCTTATGACTTAGGTTTTAGAGTTCAGGGTTTAGGGTTCTTAGCCAAATGCAAAAACATTCATTAGCAAGCTAATGTATGCATAAGTAGAAGCCCGGCCTTGAACAACCAAAAAATTCATAATACCAAGCTTTCTCTGAAATCAACTTTTTACATATTAACTATTAATAGAATAAATATTAAAACAATACAAGAGTTGTATATCTTTAATATAGACTCGAACTTGGATTAAGCCTAATAATTGTTCATTGGATGTAGTCGGTCGCCTAGTTTAGCAGTGGTTTGGTCTCTCAAAGCATTGGTATATTGCCTTAGATGTAGCAGGTTATATGAGCCAGTTCTATGTGATGAGTCCTTCGCTTGACTAGGATGAGCTTTGGTGGATGTTTTCCCTCTAATCGACATGTTGATTTGTCTAGTTTTTCAATGGGGCATTGCCTCATTATGATTGAGCAAGGTGTACTAATACTCTATTGGTGAGTGTTTTTTTTATATAATGAACTTGGTGCCTTGAAATCTACTTTTTACGGATATGGACTTGGCGTCTCGAGTGCTATAAGAAAAGTTACAGGATTAGCTGTTCAATTAACAATTCAAGAGTTTTATATCTTTGATACAAACTCAAAAATGGATTAAGGCTAAGAGTTGATTGTTGTTTGTAGTTGGTCGCCTAGTGTAGCAGTTGTTGGGCCTCTCAAAGTGTTGGTATAGTGCCTTGGATGTAGCATGTTATATGAGCTAGTTCTATCTAATGAGTTTGTCGCTTGACTGGGATGAGCTTTTCTTGAGCTTTGGTGGATATTTTCCCTCTGATCGACACATGAATTTGTCTAGTTTTTCGATGGGACAAGCCTCATTATGGTTGAGCAAGGTTAGTTCTAGTACTCTGTTGGTGAGTTTTTTTTTTTTTTGAACTTGGTTTAGCGCATTCACCTTAAGTCCCATCTCAATGGATTTCTTTGGAACCCGATCAACGAGTTGGTTATTAGTGGTCTCTTTTTGGGTGATTATGTCTCCAAAATGCACTTCTCAAAGAATGAGGTTTGTTTGATGGAGAAGCATTCTAGTAGTCATGAATGGAGTTGAAAGATCTAGCAAGCACGATATATAAACAAAACAGATTCATGATTTTTACACGTTTTAAGCTTGATAATGAGTAATATTTGACTCAGATGGATTTTGGGTAGGACGTCTCAATTTTTTAGCTGACTTAGAATAGTATTAAAGCTCTTTAAAAGTTGACTTTGGTTTTGTAGTAATCCATTTGGAATGCACAGTAGGTTGTAAGAAATATATGATATATTATGGAAATTATTGACGTGAGTTTCTTGGTTTTTTTTATATTTTTAATTGGGACAAAGATGAATGGCAATAAAGAAAAAATGGGAATGAAGCTAATTTCTACATGGAAAGTAGATAAGTAGTCAATTGCACGATAATAGACAACTCTTTACAATATTATCTTCATAATCATTGATAACATTTGGAAGGATGGCTGCTGGATCTATGGATGGATGTTTTAGGGGTCTTGGGAGGTGGAGGAGGATGTTCATTAGTGATTGCTAATATTTGTGTTGGGGATGGTGTTTGGTGGTCTGAAATTGTTTGGCTTAGTAAAGAGTTTAAATAATTTTGAAATGCCTTGATATTTGGAGATGTACCGCTGAAACTGGCTCACACTTAAAATCAATCTTAATCCCCCTCCATCATTTTAGCATGCATGGTTTATTTTTCCTGTAATTAGCTTATAGGTTGAGTACTTTACATAGGTTGGAATATTTTTTTATTTTATAAATACCATGTAAGCATCCACATCTGCACAAGTATCAATAAAATCAATTTTGAAATTATTTTTTGGGAGTGTAGCATTACTTAATTTGGATGAATATGGGATAACAATACCTGGAAGATCTCAATCAAATATTTTAGTTAATATGTCGAGTTGAATTAATAGGGTGAATGATTGGAACATCTTCCTTTTTTAAACTGTTTAAATTTGTTTGTGCATTTACAAAAAAAAAATAAAGGTTTGAATTTGTTTGTAATTTTAATGGTACATTAGTATAACTGTTTAAAAAGTGTTCAAGGGTGTGGAAGGGCAAATTTTGGCAATGTGAAGTGGTTGTGCCTTTAAAGAAATTTCTTTTGTATTCAATTTAA